TCTACTGCTAGTGGGATGCCACAAGCTTGTATAATTTTTTAACTTCTTCAAAGATAATATTTAATTGGAAGGCAAAACAGTTCTTATTGGAGTGGATTAAGCCATCAAAATTGGTAATATTGGATATGAAATCAACAACCATCAAACTTTTTTATAATACAACATCTTTCTAATTTTATATTGAGAATGAAGGCTGAGTGTGGTTATAAATACACTTGAACATGTAATATTGTTATTATTTAAATGTATTATAATTAATTAAAGTTGCTTAAGTAGAAGATTGAGTGTGCATATTGATATCTTCATAACATCTTTCTTCAAAAAGTTGATATTGTGATGGTGGTGTACATATGTCTAAAAGTTTCTTGAGCTTTGATTGCTTTGATTAAATTCTAACAAAAAAAAGATAAAAAAATCTATATATTACAAAGATCTTTCATGAAGAGCTTAACATTCAACTTCAAAGAAGAGTGTTGTTCTTTTGTATACAATGTAGTAATGCAACTAATATAGAAAGTAAATCAAATCTTAATAAAATCTTAATTGAATCCTAAAAAAATCCTAAATCTTAAACCAAATCTAAATGAAATCCTGATTAAATCTTAAACCTTTAATAAATTCTTAATTAATCCTATAATAAAATAAAATTTTAATAATTAATAATCTAATTATAATTTTTAATTCAAAATTTGCATTATTTTTAATTATTGAGTTAAAACAAGTACAAATAATTTAATAATAAATATAATTATTAAATAAAAGATAAATCCTAAAATCCACTTGAGTATTAATTGACTAACTTTTCTAATCTTAATACCAATATTTTAGCATTAATATCTTTTAAACTTATTTTTTAATAGATTTTAGACTTTTTATAGTTATTTAAATTTTAATCAAATAACATTGTGCAAAATATTAATTCAATAAAACTTGTAGATTTTTCTAAATCTTAGAAATTCTTAGTGGCCTTCTAAATTCTAATTTCTAAGATCCCAGTATGTATGAATTTTAATAATCTTTAAATAAATTATTGAAGCAAGCTCAAACTTATAATACAAATTCAATGTAATATTGATCATATAATTATTAAATCATATTTATAGATTATTCATTAATAATAGATATTTATCCAAAGTATAAACTCTTTATATTTTTTTAAATCTAAACTAATTTAAAAAAAATCTTAACTTTGCAAAGCCTTTATAAAGTCATTATAAACTCAATTTACTTAAAATCAATGCCTAAAAAACTTTTTTCTAATCGGCTATTAAAACTTGCTCTTTGATCAACCAAAAAACTTCAAAATTATTTTAGATGTGCAATTTTTGTAGGAGTAAAAGCATACATGGCGCAAAAATTCATCCATTATTTGTCAAAAACCTCATCTATAGAAGAATTTATTACTATTGTCCATTCTATAAGAAAGGTAGTCCAACCATCATCTTTTTTGAATAAAAAATATTTCTTATGGTTGGTCAAAACGTTCTTTTGAATCAAAAGAATACAATCAAAGACATTGGATGTAGAAATAATATCTTTGATAACATTTATGAGTGCAAAGTCTCTATTATCACCAATATTGATGGATTGCAATTCTTTATCGATGAGGATAAGTTGCATCAATGTCTAATATAAGAATAATTATATGTTTTCTTGAAAAATTACAATTGCAATTATTAAAGATGTGTTGAAACTTGTGACACCTACAACATAGGAATTTTATACCTTTTTGTTTTATATGAGTAATCCATAATTATAATATATAGGTATCTTTTTACAAGTTTTGTACATTCAAAATAATAATAATAAAAAAAAGACAGCTAATCTTATTTGTGTTATTGCATCTATAACCATATTGATATAAAGTATTGAAGTGATTTTTCATCAAAGTATGAAAATGCACACAACCATAAAGATAGGCTATAAAAAGCTATTAGTGTGTATTATAGATAGTGTACATAACCACTAAAGTTATAGAATTCCTTTCTTATAGAGTAATAATAATATCCTTTAGAGCTATTTTAGTAATAAACACCTAAGCAATTAGACCTTTTTGTACAAGTTGGAAGAGACAAGCAATTAAATGTCTTGCCAACAATGTTAAGGGACCATAGATATATCTTCTATTTTGAAGCAAAAAATATCAATGTTTTTTAATATAAAAATAAAAATATGTAATTCAAATGGATTCCATGTCAATTTCTATTGTAATGTAAATTCTTACAATATAAAAAAATTAACTTAGAATCATAAAATATTATAGTTTTTTAATATGTATCTTACTTATTAAATAAAAATTTAAGGAAAAAATTAGATTTTAGAAAAATTAGATAATAAATTAAAATAAAGGTTAATGAAGATATTTTCAATAAATATATAAATAGGTGTGTGAGTTTTGATAGCAAGAAGTATGATAGTTTTATTATAAATAAAGTTTTATAGAAGAGAATTAAGATCTAAGATAATTGATTTTTAGATTATCCATTTAAAATAAAAATGAGTAGACATATTTTAGTAGGTTTTTAAATATGTATATAAATTTTGGTAGAAAAAAGAGTAATATTTTGTAAAATAAAATAAAAATAAAAATAAAAATGGACAACAAGCTTATTTTGAGAAGTCTTGAAGCTTTAGACATCAAGTAACAGTTATAAGCTTGTTGTGATGGATAGATAACAAAGTGCTTAAGTGGCATCTAGGAAGTTCCAAATTTTAACCTCTATGGTGGTACAAGGAAAAAGAAGAGAATAAATATTTTCTAAAATCTTCAATTAATTTATTAAGGTTATGTAGCAGATTGGCTTTATAATGCTTACATTAAAAAATTATGTTCAATGACAAGGGCATCTGTTACTTGTGGGTGGAAGCAAAGAATCTTCCTTAATAGTAGCATAATGTGTGATGTCTATAACTTCTATATATTTGTATTTTTAATAAATTGGTATATAGCTTTCTTAAAAAGAAAGAACTATAAGTTGGTAGCAGCTGAAGTGTAATAGCATCAATTCTCTCAAATCTTCAATCCACTTTTTTTAAAAAATAAATAATATTTTGAATAAATTAAAGTTTTAGGATTTTAAGTTTAGAGATAGAATTTAGAGTTTAAGATTTAGAAATTAAGGTTTAAAACTCTGATAGAGTTTAGAATTTTAGAAAGATCAATTTGTTTTTGAGAAGAATATAAGAACATCTTGTGAAATTAAAATAAGGTCAAAGAAAATAATATAAATTTAGAATAGGAATAAATTAGCCAACTTAAACATTATAAAGCTATTATTATTATTATTATTATTATTATTATTATTATTTATTGTGGCTGTCAAATTTGAACAATTTTATTGGTTATGTCTCTATGAATTTATTATATTCACACACACATTGACCATGAATAATCCAATTGTAAAGCCAATGATATTTATTAAGACATGTTGCATCTTCTCAATTTAATTCTTAATTTAAGATTCACACTAATATTATTTATATCAAATAATAATATAATTTTTAATTATTTTGATGTTGGATAGATCAAAATAACAATTAATGGGATTGATTTAGTATTTATCTATCTATCTATATATATAAATTCTATTATAAAAATCAATATAAAATATAAAAAATAAAACTTAATAAGATTTTATAAATAAATAAAAATAAATAAAAATAAAAGTTATTATATTAAGTTAATATAAATTTTTTATTTGTAAAAAATAATTTATCTATTGAAAATTTTTAAACTTAAAAAAAATAAGAACATGTCAAATATATATTCTTGTATTTATTTTTTTAATATTTTTAATAGAGTGTATAAATCCTATTAGACATAATGTATAATGGACAGTTGACACTTCTTGGCTAGTTGACAAGTTACATCCACTATTTATTGGTGGTAATACCATTTAGTTATTGTAGCAGTGTAATATGACAAATGTCTACATATTAATTGGATATTATTGACTATGCTAGTTGTTTGTGTATTCACACAAAAAAGTCCATGTGGTTAGACATTGGACTAGTAGTATAAGAATTCAAACTAGAAGCTCATTTTGGCAAGTGGTTTTAGTTCTCCTTTCTCTATATATTTGTACTTCTATTCTAGCAATGTACTTCTTTATATTTTATTACAAATATTTAAATTAATAAAAAATATATTAATTTTAAATTTATCTTATTAAGAATTTTAAGGTATTTTAAATAAAAAATTTAGTGTTTCAAAACTTATTGGAATGCTAAACCTCATCTTGTTTATGAATGCAAATCTAAATAGTTGGTGGTGAATCAAAACAAATTATACATGTGGAATCTCAACTTTGTAAAAGATCACAAAAAAATATATTTATGAAAGTGATCATCTAATTTTTTACTAATAATTTTACAAAATAAACATTGTTTGCTTGATAATTCAAAACACTCAAATCATATGCCATATCTTCTTCTTAGTATATTCCATTCTAAGTGAACAAGAATAAATAACACTACAAGGAGTCCTACCAAGGAAACAAGTAGGGAGCAAAACCTAATAGCAAGGATGGTAACCCACTCCCTAATATTCTCAAGAGACCCATTGACTTGGGAGTAATTAAAGAGTGTAAAATTTAGACGCTTTCAACTGGGTTCTTATGGGTATCATACAACAGTTTGTCAAGATGTTTATAAGAGAAATGTGACAATGCGACAAATTATAAGCATTACACCCAATGTGATAACTGAAACCATAACCCTAATCACAGAGAATAAACCCTAAAAACAAATTGATTTAAGAATCAAGCTCATGGACGAAGAGAACTTGATGTTGCCGTTTTTTCCGAACCAAGTATCCGAAGCTGGTCCCAAACCGGCGCAGGCGGCCAAATGTCGCGCCGACGAGGTCCGTGGTACCGAAAACTTGGCAGTGTCTATTGAAGGGGAGGGGCATTGATTGCCGCCCGGGTATGTATCCCGGCAATTAAGGGACAGGAGAGGAGGGCGGGATGCGGACCCTGCCCGTCCCCACCCCGTTCCTCACGACACCCTATTGTGCTGCCTCGCTCACCCGCTCGCTCGCTTGATCGCTGAGTTGTGTCATGCCTTCTCTGCCGCTGTATGTCCCGCTCGGACCCCTACTCCTCCGTTGCAACTCGCTGGGTCGCATTGCCAGGAAGACCAGGAAGACTGTTACCCGCCTTGGTCCGAATCCCCGCGTTTTTGGGTTTCCATCGATCCCGTTTCTGGCAAATTCTGCGGCATATTGCGGGCCGTATTGGTGATTTTTGGAGGTTTGCGGGGGGTGCAGGCGGGGTTTCGTGAGCAATTGTGAGGGTTTGTGTGAGGAATTCGAGTAATGGAAGTGGACTGATTGGAAAAGACGGCGCATGTGAAGCATCCAGTGAGCATTGGGAGAGTTTTGAGTGTTTTTTTAGACTCCCCCTCACTCCTCTGTCGGTTTTAAGCTTAATTTAATTTTGAACAAAAACCGTGTGGAAATCCTTAGTTGTGGTTTGCTTTGAACTTTGTAGTTTGTGTTGAGCTTGGGAAGAGTTTCAACGTTTAGCCTTTGTTTTTTTATTTCAGTTGTAGTTATTGACCTGGTTGGAGGGAGTTAAATTGAGGGTTGAGTGTTTCAAGTTACTGGTAGGGTTTCATCAGAGGAGTGTAGGCAGATTAAGTAATTTGGAGGTGGCGAGGAGATGGACGCCTAAGGATTGAGTGGAATGAGTGTTATGATCGGAGGTCGATTGTGTAGTGATGATGCTTGAAGCGCATTGAAAACTCTGCAGCTGACCTAGGGTTTCTATCAATTTCAGAGTTTAGGGGCTGATGATTGTGCAAATTGAGTGATATCTTTTGATATTGAGCGTAGCAGTGAGTTACATCAGAGTTGCGACTTGTGAAGATATTCTGAAAGGGATTATTGTGTAATTGTTTTTAGCCGTGAAGGGATGCAGTTACCTCTATGTCTGTGATACACATGGAGATGATAGAGCCCGGGTCTACACGTCACAGAGCTTATGCCCTAGGAATTGTGTCTCTAGGGTAGCTTAGGCCTTGCAAACTACTGCTGCCGGTTGCTCGTCTACAATGCATGATTTGGAGCATGTGTCAGGGAGAGAGAGCTCATTAAGAAGACGGCATTTTTCTAGGAAGGAATATGACTGATGCAACGGCAATCGGAACGGAGACGATGGAGGAGATTGATTTGGAAATTGGACCAGGGTACGACGATGCAACGCACTTCGACCCTGGGGCAACCCAAAATCTGGCACTCATCGCTGTAAATGATCATGGAATGAAACCAACCCCGCGGAAGAAGAAAAAAGTGGTGAAGAGGTGGCGCGACGAGTGGGCAGAGACATACAAGTGGGCTCACGTTGCAGTTCACGAGGGCTCTCATCGCATATTTTGCTCTGTATGCAAGGAATATGGACGGAAGCATCGACGTAATCCTTACGGTAATGAAGGCAGCCGCAACATGCAGATGAGTGCTCTTGAGGAGCACAATAACAGTCTGCTGCACAAGGAAGCTCTCCGCCTGCAAATGGCTTCCCGCGACAAAGGATTGGGATTTATCGAGCGGCCTCTCTATGTAAAGGGTATGCTTCTGAAGTCTTGAACAGCAGACCAGTTCTGTGCTAGCCATAGCCCTTGTCAACTGAACTTCTAATTATCATTGTGAAGGTAGTACTTGTCACGGTTAATTGTGTGACGTGTTCTTTGAAGTGCCTAATGGTGCACAGCGTGTGACTGCACTTCCTGAAAATTTAACATTTAGTAGAAATTATGATAACGGAGGTCTTCATCACCTCTATAATGTGTAGTTGGGAGTCAGACCTACAGTTTCCTAGCTTCTTCGATGTGTAGAAATCGGGTTTGTTATTAAGACAGTCCTCCTGATTAGCTTGCTGCTTTTTACATGGAGTGTGCTAAAGGAGCTGAGGGATCTCGATGAATCTGGGTCTGATTTTCTACATTGGTGAGGAACCTAATCAGTGTCATCTTTGATCTCGTCGTCTAAGGACGGTTGCCGTGCAGTTAAAGGCCAACCTTTGGCACCTGATATCAGAAAAATGCTTGAGATTCCATAATGCGTACCACATGGACGTGGGAAGAGGACTTGTTAAGTGATGTATTTGCTGCTTTATGCCTGACAGATATTTTGAGGCAATGTACAAACGAAGGCTATTTTCAACAAACTCTATCCTCGTGTACGTTCATCATCTCTTTTTTTTTTTTGGTGTTTGAATTGTAATTATGAGATCTTTGTTCCTCATTGTGACAAAGTTCTGCCTTAAACTTAGAATCTGGTTGGTTGACCATGTGGTTCACATGTTTCAGTTGTACCCACATTTGGTTGCCGTGACTGGAATGGAGTGCAATGAGGTTCAGTTCTTTGTTGTGTGCACTATCAAGAAGATTTTGTACAGATTTTACAATGATGTATAAAGATTTTTTTTCTCTAAGAGTAGCATTTATTGTAGCAGCGATCTTGCGGCGGGATCCGTATGAAGTTGAATTTATACAATCGGTTCAAGAAGTTTTACATTCATTGGAGCCTGTTCTTGCGAAAGTTCCGCAGTGAGTGCAGCCCATTCCAGAGCTTGTTGTATACGTTTACCCACCTCTGAACAAGGGTTGTTCACTTATGACTGCTAGGTTGTAATGTTTTGCCGTAACTTTTTGCTGCATATTATAATAATGTCAAATTGGATTCCTAATCTGGAAATTCAGGACACTTTCCAGTTCGTCAGCTACGAACTAGTTGTCATGAATAAATGTGGGGAATGAGCATACTACGTGGTTGGGAAACATCAGAATACGTCGTGATACGATTGGCTTCGGCAGGTATGTACATGTGTTAGAGCGACTGGTGGAGCCTGAGAGGGTGGTTATTTTCAAAGTTCCTTGGGTGGACGATAAGGGAGAGGCACATGTGAACCGTGGCTTCAGAGTTCAGTTTAATCAAGCCCTTGGTCCTTACAAAGGCGGCCTTCGCTTTCACCCAACTGTCAATCTCAGCGTCGTGAAGTTCCTTGCTTTTGAGCAGGTCGTCATTCTGCCTTTTTCATGATGAGTTCAGTCTAGTCCCTATTCTGTTCTCGCTTCCATGCACTATTTGGACTCATTTGTTCGATGTCTGTGTGTTAGATACTGCAGTATTTGTTTAGTATCTCTAGCGGCTGTACATTTATTGTGGATAAAGTGAACCTAATTAGAAGCCTTTAGCTTGTGATTTGAAACCGGGTATGTTCGGCCGTGTAGGCTTATGTCAAAGTCACAAACTTATTTTGAATTGGTCACAACGGGTTACATTTATGTACGAATAAGGCGCTACTTTTATATTACTGAGTGATCACATTACTGGAGAAATTAATAGCCTCGTAAAGCTTTCATTGGTTGCTTAATTTTAAATTTTGAATATTTTATCTAGGTTTCAGGATATGGGGTGCTTGTGTTTGTATATGCTGCAAGCTTAGAAGCTTGTGCTTCATATTTTTTTAATTATGTATTGTATGCACTGAAAGGTTGCATAACATGTTTCTATATTGTAATGATTGGTTTGAAGCTTATTCTGTACTAACTTTGCAGACACTGAAGAACTCGCTATCATCACTCAGCTTGGGTGGCGGTAAGGGGGGCAGTGACTTCAATCCGAAAGGAAAGAGTGAGAATGAGGTCAGTTTATTCACTTGCGGTGGAGTATTTATTTATTTATTTATTTATTTATTTTTCTTTTCTGGATGTCACCTGTAGACCGATTTCATTTCTGCACGAAGGGTACATGCAGACGTGAAAGATCTCTTGTTTTAGAGTGGCAATGTAAGTAGTTTTCTTAAAGAAAGAATTGTTTTCATACAAGCAGGGTTTTGTAATCTGCTGTCAGTTTCTTCCTTTGTTGGATACCATTGCTTCGAACATGAATGGTGCAAAACACTTATTTATAGTAATAATTCGTTGTATTTAAATTTTTGTGTTTGCAGATCATGCGGTTCTGTTATAGTTTTATGGATGAACTGTACAGGCACATTGGACCCAATCAAGTTCCCATCTTTGTAAGTTTATTTACCTTGATATACTATGACAGATATTGTTTTTTCTAATCGTTTCTTGTGAGCAGTGCAAAATGTTTTACAGTGCTTGGTTGCATGTTTTAAACTCATTTGGAGCATTTAATTGTCTGCAGGATACTCCATCAGGAGATATTGGTGTTGGACCACGTGAGATCGGTTATCTATTTGGCCAGTATAGGCGCCTGACTAGTCAATATGAGGTGCGTACTTCCGCAGCTTCAGTTTTTAGTCACAAGTCTATTCTCCTCTCACATTAGTTACTCTATGACCAGTGGAGGTAATTGTATTAGTGCCTAGACGTACACTCTAATACAACATGAGGAAGTTTTTATGTCGTTACTACACGTGGTACTGAGTATGCTGTTGTTACACCTAGTTGTCGCTGTACACTCCAGGAAAGACGCCTCAAAGCCCAGTATATCATTGCTTTAGTTCGAGTTGGTTGTGACTTGAGACGTTTTGACAGACTTTTAATGGATTTTCATTTTTTTGTGGACAGGGTATGTTAGGTCCTAAAGGCATTCAATGGGGCCTGTCAAATCTGCACCCAGAGGCTACTGGTTATGGCGTGGTGCGCAATTTCTTTTCTTCACTAATGGAGGAAGCTGTAAACAATTTAGAGCTTAAATAGTTACCTAGCTCTTGTTTGATGTATTTTGCAAGAGGGTGGTTGGCAAAAACAATTTTCTCGCTTTTAAAATTTCAACTTACATTTAATATCATTTAAATGAGTGGCTTAGCTTATATTGGTCTTTGAAATTGTTTTTATATTCACATGTTACTCTTTTCACGTGTGGAATCAAAGGGTCATTCTGAGTACATTCCTTAGCCCTTCTTGTATTTTTTCTAGCGCATTCTTAGTATCTCGCAACCTTGGTTGCAGGTGTATTTTGCCAAGGAAGTTCTTGCCAATTTAGAGAAAGATTTGAAAGATCTCAGGTTTGTTACTTCTGCATTCTACCCCGATGAATTATTTTCTTGAGTCTTTGTGTTATTTTTAATGCTTCACCTCTTTATCTACCCGGAAAGAACCCAACTTTCTTGTTAATATTACTATTAACATTTTAAAGTGTTGGTATTCTTGAGTCTGCCTCATGTCTATTTGTTTGCTTGCAGGTGTGTTGTGAGTGGTGCCGGGAAAGTGGCATTATATGCAGTGGAGAAACTGATTGCATTTGGTGCTGTTCCTATTACAATCTCAGGTATGTTCTGATATGAATGGCTTCGGCGCTGGAGCATTTTTCTTGGTGTTTCTCAAGTTAGTAGAGTATGTCGCATCTGGTCATTGACTAAGAAGAATTGATGTAGCATTATGTTTCTTCCATACTACTGCGTCGGTAGAGTTTCATCGAGACATTATTGAAGGATTCTTATTTTTAGTGGCAATTTCTTCGTTGTCCCACCTCAGTTTCTATTCTTGAAGAAATGGCAACAACTTACTTATTTTAGCCCTTTTTCATGCTAGATACAAGAGGTTACCTTTTAGACGAAGATGGATTTGATCGTACCAAGCTTGGGCTCATTCGTGAAATAAAAGCTCACAATAACAGCCTGGGGTAACTGCCGCATCCGGTTTAACTAATTTCAAGTGTTTTTTTTTGTCTAGATCTTGCTAGCCACATCTTCTAAGCGTGGAATAATCATGGATATCTGTCGTAATTTCTTCTTTCTGTCCTGGGCATTATAAATCGCCTTTATCGTTATCACTATCAGTGATGACATAATGGTCATCCTTAATTGTAGTAGACTCACGAAGTGTCCTCTACAGGGAATACACCAAACTTTACCCAAGAGCAAAGTATTTTGACGACATGAAGCCCTGGACAGTGAAGTGTGATATTGCTTTTCCTTGTGCAACACAGAATGAGCTGAATCATGCTGATGCCATGTCTCTCATTAATCTTGGATGTCAAGTTATTATAGAAGGTAAAAACCTGTTTGATCAATTTACGGCTTTCTACGTCTAAAAATTCGCGGTCAGTTCCTTTTGCGTGACTAACTTTACCTTTTTGTTCCAGGGGCCAACATGCCATGTACAGCTGAGGCGATCGATGTATTTCGGAAGTCAAAAGTCTGGTTTGGGCCTGGAAAGGCTGCAAATGCTGGTGGGGTAAGATTGTGATCTGATTGTCGTTGGTAATATTTGCTACAGTATTCCATTATGAAGTCGGTGGCTTCTTTCGCAGAGTTTGTGATCTGAACAAAATTCACAAGTCAAACCTGAGACCGTTACCCATTGTAACAGCACGCAGTACAGCGATCTCTGCTGTAATGAATAAGTTTACGATTTTTTAAGTGTGTTTGGATTTCCTCATTTCTGTGTATCTTGTAGATGTCACATTTTCATGTGCACTTGCATGCGTATGGTGTAGCATAATGAGAAACAATCTTTTCTGAATCTTAGGTAACTATTCAAGGTTTGGAGATGGCACAAAACACATCCTATGTTCAGTGGACAGCTGAAGAAGTTGACATGAGATTGCAAGAGGTCATGAGGGATATACATCAAAAGATTATCAAGGCTGCCCAAGATTATGGAATTGGCAATCCAGAGTACGTTGTTCAGGCAACAATATCATTAAGTTCCGACTATTTTGTTCTACGGTTATTTTCAACGTTTTTTTATTTTGATTTTTGACATTTGAAAAGCTTCTGCGGAGAAGCCGTTGGTGTTTTCGTGTTGAGATATGACGTGTTCATATATGCAGTTTCCTTTTCTGAATTGTAAAGGTATTGCTTGAAGTTTCATCTGGCTGTTTGTTTTGGTCCCTGTTCTAAAGCTCCAGCTTTTCTGTTTGCAGGGCACTACTTCACGGTGCTAATATTGCAAGTTTTCTACGTGTTGCTCAAGCAATGTTGGAACAGGGCTGCGTTTGACGCTATGCCAATTCCATATATGCACACACCCTTCTCTGGATTACGATTGCTCCCTTAACCTATCAGTAATTGGTGATGGTGCTATTGTTTCAGCAAGAGATGTTTGCGGTTTTCAAACAAGCATAAGGTTTATAAGTTGTGATCTGAGGGTTAAGATAAAGTTTACAAACTTAGCTGTGCAAATAGGAAAACGTGTGAAGAGGGGTTGGTTTCCTGAAGAGAAGTGATCACTCTGGAGATTGCAAACCCCGATAGTAATTTACTGTGTGCATTATGTTAGGCTAGGAGAGTACAGTTTCTGGGTTCAATATATGAAGAGCACATTCCATTTGAATGTGAATTCACTTCAGTCAGTCCCTAGGATAGTTCAAGACAATTAAGGATGAAGTTTGACCAACGGTTGGTAGGGTGGAAGATGTATAAGTGTGCAGATTCCTAGACGTCACAAGGAATCAACTAGTGATACTCTTATCCAATCAGGTATTTAATCGGTCATTGGCGTAGATATTGAAGCAATAGGTCCTAGGTAATTGTTGTATATTCACCAATTGAAAGCAAGAACAAGTCTTCATACTGATGGCAGGATATAATCCCATCCCCTAGTTACGGATGGAAATGTGGCATTTAGCATGGTTTAGCATTACAAACAGTAATATTTGTGAACTCATGTGTAGATTTATTACTCATCATTTGTAGTTCTTCCGAGGAGGTTTACAAGAACATCATAGTTGGCTGCTGTGGTGTTTATCTGCGCTAAAAATTGCTCAAGTGTGCAGCCATTTGCTGTGGGATTCGAAAAGGAACAAACAGTAGCAGCAGAGATCATGATCTGTGACCTATGTTAGAAACAGCGTCTCTCTTTTTCAGTTCTAATGCATTGCCAGCTAACCTAATAAAAATGTATACTTTTTTTTTACTTTTATCACATTTTCTTTTTAGTCGTGAATCTGGTTTATTCTATATCTTAGAATCATCTCCGATAAATAATGCAATTAAATTATTTTTAAAGAAAAATTACCAATTTTTCCTAAGTTTTGGAAAATCTTGTGAAGGTAAATTATTCAAAATAAATATAGAACAAAATACATAGTTTGTCAACATTCTTTTGGATCATCTGCAGTATATATATATATATATATATATAATGTAATCTTTTTTAATCTTGCATACAAATAATGAATTATGTAGCCTCCAAGAAGTATAAAAATATGTGAACATAAGTCAAGCAAATCTGTACTTTTCAACTATATATGTGTCATAGAGCTATAAAAAATATTTATGGAACTTTTTTGAGAGGCACAATCTACAAGCACACCTCAAATGGATATATGCACATCCATTATGTTTGTACGCACATCCAAATCCTGTGATTAGCTGATCCAATTCCTTCATCTTTGTTTTAGCAAAATTCTTAAACTTCTTTCCTATCTTTCACATCCCATCATGGGTCTCAATCCCCTCTTCTTCTTTTTCCTTGTCTCAACATGGATCCTTGACCTCTTCCCCATCTTCTTTGTCTGAATAAGAGTCTCAATTTCCTCTTCACTTTCTTTCTTCTTTGAGTTTTGGCCCTAGTCCCTTCAAGCCTTGAACCTTGTCTCACCATTGACCCATGTTGGGATAAGGAAGAGAATAAAGAGGAAATTAGGACTTGCACCAAGACAAGAAAGAGGGGGAGGAGGTTCGAGATCCATGATGGCACAAAAAAGAGGAGGATAGAAACTAGGACCTGCATCAAGACAAGGAAAAGGGAGAGGAGGTGAAGGACCCCTATTGGGACAAGACAAAAAAGGAAGTGGGGATTGGGACTTGCAACAAGACAAGGAAGAAAGAGAGGAAGCTTGGGAATTGTGCCAAAACAAAGATGAAAGGATTTGGATTAGTCAATCAGAAACCTTGGGTGTGTGTATAGACATAATGGGTGTGTGTATGACAATTTGGGGTGTGCTTGTAGCCTGAACCGCTCTGAGCAAGTCACACAAAGTATGTGTCCTTGTCAGATTGCACTTACGGTTCCCGCGCGTTCCATTCACAGGGGAACGCCATCGAGTTCTCAATGTGTGCCCATGCGTTCCCATCTGTTCACAGACTATGGATTCTCCGACTCCATCGCCCTCTCAATGTTGCAAGGCCAAAGCCATAGACACCGCCATAGCCAAGCTGGGGCTTAGGGTTTAGCCTCTAAGCCCTTCGTTCACCTCGGGCTTGGATTTGCTAGGCTTGGCGGAAGCATTCGAAATTCCGTTCAACCTCACAATTTTTTTTGCGCAGTTTCTCGCGCTGGGTGCCAATTCGTAGAGGAAGTTCAAGGGCTTTAAGAAGGGGTTGATCCAGGAGAGTTTCTAAACCAGCGTTTGGTGTTGGGCTGAGCCCTCGCCGGCACTATGCAGTCGGATGAAGTCGTATGGCAGGTCATCAATCATGTCCACTGCAGCTTCAAGGCCAAGTAAGTGTGCTCTGATTCGTCGATTTGGTTGACTTGGAGGGTTTTGGGAATTCTCTGGACATTGAGTTTTTGATGGCAGTGTTTTGAATGGTGGTGGTGTAGAATGCAAACCCAGAATTTTTGTAGGAACGAATACAATGTCACGGGACTTTGTAATCGGAGCTCGTGTCCGCTGGCTAACAGCAGATATTCTACAATTCGCGAAATTGATGGTGAGTCGTTTTGTTTTCACTGAGATGAAGGATGGTTTGATTTTTATCATGGATATTATGATCATTGTTATTGTACTATCTTCTTTGGATTCGGCTGCTTATCTTAATTTGGAATTGTAGGTACGTTGTATTTGTACATGAAAAGCATTGAGAGATCACATGCTCCCAAGGACTTGTGGGAGCGTGTCAAACTCCCTCGCAATTATGGGAAGGCGCTGGAAACGATTGATAAACATCTGGTTAGCTTCATTGCCTTCAAATTTTTTGTGGTGCTTTAGCTCAGTTATTTGTCGCTCTCGGGCATGTATGTTGGTCTTTCCATTTGTTCACTTTTGTGCAATTTGTGTTTTTTTGGAAAGGAACATTGGCCAAAATTTTTGGTGCACAAAAATAAGCAGCGACTTACCAAAATGACCCAGTATTTGATCCGAATGCGGAAATTGGCATTGAAAATGAAGTACGCTTCTCGGTCTGAGCCCACTATTTGCAATTTCATATTGAGAGATTGGCAAGCGTTAGAAAGACTAGCCGAATCATTTTATGTGCTGCGTCTTATAGAAATTCCTTGATTCTTTCTTAATTTGCCTCGGTATCCTTACGCACAACATACTCAAACTCATGCATCGCTGATTTTCAGGCGCAAACTTGTTACTATGCCTGCGAAGGAAGTGAAAAGAGAAAAGCGGAGGGAAGCTAAAGCATTAACAGCTGCTGTCTTGGACAAGGTAATCATCACTACCAGTTACATCTTGCACCTCCGTACTTCATCTTGTGGGTAGAGGGAAGATGACGAGTCACACTGGAGCTCATATATTTTTATTATTTTCTTGGCAGTCGATAGAGAAGGAGTTGCTCCAGCGATTACAAAGTGGAACCTATGGAGATATATACAACTTTCCTGTTAAGGAGTACGAGAAAGTCTTGGCGATGGAGGAGATGGAACCTGCCGGTGAAGAAAGTGAAGAAGAGGAGGCAAGTGTTGAGATTTAGCTTCTTGCTCACTTTCTTGCTTTCTTTCTTCCTTTTCCCCTATGCAACCAGCATGGTTAATTACTTGTGTTGGATGGGAAACCATTTCGATCTTGTACTGGAGTGATGTGTCATGCACACGATTTCGGTTGCGGCTGGTGGTGTTCGTTGGTGTTACCCGCATCAGAATCCACTACTTTTATAGGGCTTGTTGTAACTTCATGTGTTTTAAAGATCTTCCTTCAAAGATGCACCACAAGCTTTTCTGGATAAAGATACAAATGCACCGCACAACAACAGCGATAACCTTATGCTACTTGCATGGTGTATGGTTGATGAGCAGGAGGAGGAGCCTGAAGTTGAGTATGTGGAGGGGTATGAAATGGAGGATGAAGATGAGGATGATGCAATGGAAGACTTCGCTCAGGGTGCAAACAGGATGCCAGACTCTGAAGATGGTAAGTTATCTCCTAACCTTTTACTCTTGTTTCTAGTGAACAATTTCTTTTACTGGATACCGTTGAAAACCTGCTGCATTCTTTTTCATATTTAAATTTGATCATGTACTGTCCATTGCATTGACTGTTTAACATAATGCCTTTGTTGCGTGTGTTTTGATCAGACGATGGAGAGCAATCTGATGAAGATTCAGATGAATCTGAGGAGGCGGATTTGGAAGCAAGCCTTCGGTCGAAGAAAGCTCCCAAGGTTCCTTCAAAAAGAAGTCAAGCTACTCCTGTACCAGTTGGTAGAAAGAAACGACGACCCCATGTTGAAGTAAGTGAAATCTTCTTGACCTTTCGAATGTGAGGTTTGATGACTCTATTCTAGTTTGATTACTCAGCTGATGATGAAGTGTTCACATTCCACCTTTGTCATCATACCATTTACACTCGAGTTCCCTCAGTGCACTGGTGGTCTTCACTGATATTTTTGTTTACGTTGTATGGCAGATTGAGTATGAAGAGGAGCGGGAGATGGAGAGTTCGCATGTTTGATTTTGCCATCATCTGCTGCGAACTCGGTTGTACACCTAATTTTGTAGACGACTAGATTAGACTAATGATAAATATGATACATTCCCCATAGTTGTAGAGGGATCAACAGATATAAGAATGTATTGGAGCAGGGTGCAAGATGGTGCACAAGCATGATTCTTGTGACTGATGTGTTTCTGTGGGGCAGTGCAAGCTTGTTACAGTGAAAAATTGAACGGAGGTACAACAATCAGTGACATCAATTTCTTATAGAGGTACAACGGTTGTTTTGTTCCATTATCTGCTTGATCTGCGAATTGGATATCTCACATTATTCTTTTTTTCTTTTTTTCTTTTTTTGTACTTAACATTGGACTGTGCAAATTGTGCTTCCACTGCTGCTAAGACAAGATCTTGCACCCCTATTTTGGTCATGATACTCAAATAATAGAAGGTTTCCATCATGCATGGATGTTGGCCATGTATCTTGTGCTCAATGCTCATTCCGGGTGCAGCTTTCGTCACAGCTTGTTTATTTATCTTTGCTGCAAATATGTTAAACTTTTGCCAGTTTCTCATCGTAAACCTATGTACAATATTGCAAAAAATAGCTTGATAAATCAATGCACTTGTATTGCAGAGAAGCAAAATTGTACACTGGAACCCATAGTATTTCATAACAAAGGTGAAGTCTCCTGTAGTTTCATCTACGTTCATCATCCTTTCATCCCCTCGGTGCTCGTGTGAGTCGGATCAGTTCCACATTTCTACATTGAATAGTTCATAACATGATACATAACGAAGGCCTTTATAAATTTATAAATAAACTGAAGAAGCGGTTTGTATGTAAAGAATTCAAAGAACCTTGTAGCATAATTGTTCAAAGAATGTGTGGAATTTAAAATCTAAATGTTTGATGTAATAGTATTTGAGATTAAGTATAAATCTTGTTACACTTGAGAAATCTATACACTGAAGGAAATCCTTGTTGTATGTAGTTCAGTCTAACCAAAATATTCCAACCCAACCTTTTTATATTTGTGGTTGAAAAAATATGCAATGTATTTGTTATAACTAGCACTTACTGCCACACAAGATTTTTTCAGATCTCTAAAAAACTTAACCGCTATTAAAGAAACAATATAATACATATGGGATATTCGGCCAAAATTGTTTTCCAAATATTTAGTATCTGTGAATGTAGTTAAAATAACACAACAATGTGTATTTTTTAGTACAATTTTGTAAATAATAGTATCTTTTAGAAATTTTATTATACACTTTATTCAATCCAAATTTTACGATCCTACTTTCTTCCCAAATGTTTTAAAATATCTACGTAAATCACAAGGTAGCATATACAAAATAGATAATTTTCAAATAGTCCAAGTTTCATCTGGTGTTAAGTTCCTCACAATTAAATCAGATATCATGTTTAAGGTATACAATTAATATAAAAAATTGTTTAAATTTTTAACAAAACATTAGAATAAAAATGAAAGTTCAAAAAGCGATTCTGTATTATTTGTATTTTTATATTTAGTGATATAATTTTTTGAGGTATTTAATTTTAGTTTCTTTATTTATGAGATTTTATTTAAAAATAATAATTAATGAATAAATATTAAATTTAAATCTTCTAGACAATTAGAATATCTTGATTGATATTTTAGTATCTTTTAATTTGATTTTAAAAAACTTTTGCAAATACATAAGAAATTCTGATTTTGAAAACTAGTAAAACAAAAAAACAAATAAATTGTGATTTTTTACAAAAGGATTTGATATAAAACCCCTCTTTGTAAGACAATACATAATTATTCACAAAATTCAAAATATGTAAAATTATATTTGAATTTAATAATTTACATGATGAATAATAAACACTAAAAAATATAGTACTTGATTTAATTAAAATTTTCAATAAATTTTAAATATTGCATATGATTTTTAAATATAACACATTCTGCAAAGTTTTAAAATTTTATTTCTAATTATTTTCAATCTTTAAACTATGCTGCGACAAGTTACAATTTTTCTAACATTCTAATTTACATGTAAATATTAATTTTTTTATATTTAAAGAACCTATATCTTAAAATACATAAAATTATATTTAAAATTTATTGACTAATTTTTCATTAATATGAAACAATTATTAAATAATAATACTTTAAATCAAAAATAATATATACATTATTTTTTATTTTATTTTAAAAAAACTTTTTTTGTGAAACTTATAAGTAATAATTAATAAAGTGTTTTTTTATTAATTATGTGCTGTAGATATTTTATATTTCTCATTTAATGATAAAAATTAAGAAATATTTAAATTATTATACTAGAAATGTTATTAAATTTATTTTTTCTTATATTATTCTTAAAACTATGTTTTAAAATGGTATATTTTGAGAAGTTTTTATTTTATTAATGATACTATAAAAAATATTTTATTTAATTTATTTTTAAAAGAAGTATTTATTGTTATGTTTCATTGTATTTTTGTGGAATCATTTATTAAAATTTTGTACTAAAAACTTAAATCATAAAACTTTTTTGTAACCACAAAATCAGATTCTAAAATTATCTCATGGAAAATCATTAATTACAAGATCAATCATAAATATATATATATATATATATATATGTATGTGTGTGTGTGTGTGTATGTGTGTGAATTTTTATTATAAATGCAAATGAAAAGCCAATATGGTATCAAGGATATTAAAAAAAATATAAAATAAAAAACTTTAAAAAGATAATATACCTTTATGTCCCTAAAAAAGAGAAAGTAGATAAACAATTGATAGATATAAAATAAAAAGAAAGTGGATTAGCTATTATTAATTAAAAAGAAGCTAAAGATCTTTGAATTAAGATTGAAAGACATAAAAGAAGTTAATAAGATTAAGAATGGTCTTAGTCATATCTCTATATATACTAGTTATCCAAATGGTCTTAAAGAAGCTTCCTAGGAACCACAAGACTTAGAGCCTAAATGTCAAGTTCTAAATTACATCTTATGCAATTTTCTTAAAAAAAAAAACTTTTAGGACAAGTTGCAATTGCCACATAGCATATCTATAGGAATTTAAATATCTAAACAATGTTCAGAAAACCTTCTTGAAGTTTCTTAATATAGATTCTATTTACTGAACATGTTTCTATCAACTTTTATATACTTCTATTTACTTAAGTAATCTAAGCATCCATTGTACAAAAACTCAATAGCAAATATGATTAATAATAACTTAGATGAAAAAATAAAAATAAAAATAAAAATTATATATATATATATATATATATATATATATATTGTAAAAGGAAGACAAAAAAGAGCTAGAAGATGCAATATAATATTACAATAACAAAAAAGAAAATAACAAAAACTCTACAAACAAGGAAGCATAGGTAGAATTGACATAATAAATAAATAAAATGCACAAAAAGATCTAAAAAGAAGCATAGATAGAATTAGCACATCAAATAAATAAAAGACACAAAAAGAGGCATAGGTTGTCATAAAAATAAAGTCTATGTTGTTAAAACTTACAATTTTTAGAAGACAATCCTAATTGTAAGCAATAATATTTTAAAATTATTATAGTTAATATTTTGGTTAAAAAAAAAATTAAAAAATCACAAAAATTATAGCCAAACAAAGGAATTAATCTCTAATAAATAAATTTTAGCTTGCCAAGGTCTTAATTATTCAATATAATATCTAATTTTAGAATTTAAACTAAAATTCTTTATTTAGATGTATTTTTTTAGAATTTGGACATAAGTTTTATAAAATTATGTCTAAATTTAATTCAAAAATAACATTGTCCAATAAATCAATAAAGAATTTTTGCCCCTTGCTTCTTGCTTTGAAGCTTAAAGACAATAGCAAAGCAATTAGTAGGAGGCAAAAAATTTCTTTAAATAAATACTTATATATATATATATATATATATATATATATATTATAGATAGATTCTTTAATAATATTATAGACACACTACTTGGATAGGACAAGACTTTAAGAATTAAAAGAAATGAAAAAATAAAATAAAATAAAAATCACTTTATATCACAAACAAGGAGCTATAACAACACAGAAGAACAAGACCAGAAGGACAAGTCCATGTTGAGACATTGAGGATCCTCTTAGCCTCAATTCCTATATATATATATATATACTTACTAGCTGCAAGGAAGTAGAGGGCAGTTTTCTTTCTCCAAGAATCTTCTACTACCGTCTAAGATCCCTTGGAAGCTTTGGGAGCTTATCGAAATCTACTTTTCAAATATTATTCTAAGGTATAGAAGAAGCTTTTGGAACCTTGTCTTCTATTCTTTGTCACTGTCATCACCTCTCTTTTAACTCTCTTTGGGTCTCTGTGAATTCCACAAGGAGGCATCGTTGTATAAAAAACGAGATGATTGTGTTGGAAAAAGGATAAACATGAATAATAACAGATGGATATCGAATCAGAGACGGAGTTAAACAAATGAAGTATGTTTTATTAAATAGGCATGTGGGCACGAGCGTTTCAACGGGTAAATCGATGTTGCTGACTTCTGCAAGACGCTGCAAGCAGACGGGAAGTGATGTCGAACTTTGGAAACGCCTCCTAACAGTTCCAAAGACTAATCTGTTTTTCTTCTAAGCCTGACAGTGGCAACTGACTGTTTGTGAGGCAATCGAAGGTTCATGCATGATCGTTTTGTGTAATAATTTGGAGTTGTGTGTCTAAGTTTGCAACAAGTTTCACAGACGAGGAGGAGTTTGTAAGTATTTCTGATCAGTACTCTTTGTAAATATATTCTTGCATATATATGCATCATGATTCTGACACTCGATTTGGTCTCACTTCCCCTCCCCCTACCCAAAGTTTGCTTCTTAAACTTATTGTGTCAATGTGGGATTAATCAGTATTATTGTGCTTCTGAATTGGGCTTGAGCCATTCTTACTACTTACAACAACAAATGCTGATTATACATCGATTACTTGGATGTGCAGGTAGCAGATCGACGTAGTTCCACTCATTCTGCTGTGAAATAGTGATGATGGGCGGTGATCCGGGCTAGATCCAGATGGCCATTATATTTGGTGCTCTTGTGTGCAATCACTGCAGTTTCTCACAGCACGGCGGTCTCACGAGTGCCGGTGTACAGATCCAAATGCTGGTTGTTGGCCCCCGAAACAAGAATGGGATGCTCTTAGTGCCACAGTTGGTGGTCGCTTCATCTCCCCGAAACCAACAGGAAGCCCTTGCCATGAACCATACTTCAATGCTTCAGTGTGTGAGAACATCGGGGA